TTACATTACTTTACAACTGCTTAATGCAGTACTGATGTATCTAGTAGTTTAGTGGGTTTAACTAATGTCACATCTGTTTTTATTCATTTCAGATGCAGAAACTTTTGACATATGAATTCATCTTGACTAAGGGTAATGTTTTTGTTCAGAATTAATCATTATTTAAAATCATTGTATTTTCTTTGTTATTATGTACAGATTTTAAAAGAATGTACTGTCTTTTAATAAAGAACTCTTCACAGCACTGCAGCTAAACAGTCACAACCTCACAGAGCTGCACAACTGCCCCACTCAGATCAGTGTTGAAGCTGGAACCTCATCTTGTGTACAGCAAAGGCAGAGCTGAAAATTCACTGTTTGTCTTGTATTGTGTGGTAAGTCATAGTTTTATTAATTTTTTTATTTTATTGCAACACTAAGTAGTCCATTCAGTGGCCAAAATGATATAAAGGGCCTAAAATGGGACTGACGTGATCATTGTTTTGATTTCTAGATAAGTACTCATGGGGCTACACATGCAGCTGAAGTTAGCTTCATTGAGTAGGACATTTCTTTTAGTATACTCTTAAAGAGATTCACCCAAAAATGAAAATTCTGTCATTATTGACTCATCCTTCACTTGTTCCAAATATGTCTGACTTGCTTACTTCAGTTAAACACAAAAAAATTATATTTTAAAGAAAGATGAAAACCTGCAAACATTAACTTCCATAGTATTTGTTTTTTCCTACTATGTATGTCAATGTTTTCAGCTTTCCAGCTTTCTTCAAAAAACTTCCTTCATGTTTAACACAAAGTAACTTGGAAGTTTTTAAAAAAGGTTTACAACCACTTAAAGGAGAGTAAATAGTAAACTGTTCCTTTAACCCAATCTAGTTGACTTTACTAGAAAATTGTATAGAAACCCAGTGGCTTAAACCCCTTACATTTTATACAAGGTACAACTTAACAGCCATACTTGAATTAAAATATTACTGTAAGTTCAAGAAGATTGTAAAGGTTCTAGGTTAATTTAAAGTGGGCTGTTTAGTTTCACCTTGTGTAAAAAACATAAAGGATTTAAGGCAACATGTTTCGATGCAGTTTTCTAATAAAGTCAACTAGTTTGGGTTAAGAGTGTAATGGGTTACAGTAATAGCAGTGAATCATGCAGGCATAAAATAAATGTTTAGCCATGTAAAGCAATAAGCTTGTTATAATTTAGAAATATTTTAGGGTGAAGCACAGTATGCTGTTGTAGTTTTCATATAATTGATGAGTCAAACATGAGATGTGTTTTAAATTGCAAGACGTGAATTAACAATATCTTCATCAAGATTCAAATCTTGCATCTTATATTTTTTAAGGTTTTGGCCCAATAATACCCATATTCTGCTATTTAAAAAATCATGCTGGAATTTGTGTCAGCATTCCCTTCAATGAAAACTACAACAGTGGACATCAGTGGTGATAAAAATGTATGTGAAGGATAAGGGTGTTCATAATGAGAAGTGCAGTCACTATCCTGATCTCTGAGTTTGTAGAACTGACAGATCTGCTTGGAATAAATGGAAACATGCTGGAAATGTTTAACCTATTATACAGTTAATTCAAGAGTGCCAGGTTTAATGACACTTTACATATATAAATAAATATCACTGAACTTTCTAAATGAAACCTAACGCTCATTCTTTGTTCAGTAATGATATTGTGCACTTCTAATACTTTACAGTGGCAAAACCTGGAATAACACATGGGAGCCCTCCAGGAATTCCTGACACTTTACGCCCAAGTCTCCTCATGCTAACCGGATTGCAATATGACAGTCTAGTCAGCATAAACACCTGGACTCACCAAGCACACTTTGGTTCTCAGTGTTTTGTAAAAATAGTTTTTGGTATTCTTCGGTAAATACTTGAATATGTTTTGAACTTATTCTACTTTTGATGTTTAAGTTCAGAAAGTTGTTATTATAAACATAATTTGCATTTGTCATGAACTTGACTTCTTGTTGTTGTGAAAGCTGTTTATTATGATGGCATTTCCAAAGGCATCATTTGAAAAGATTTTTTGCAGTGCAGTTTTACTTGAGCTTGACATACCAGATGTATGACATGAATAAATATCACAAAATAAATATAATAATAATAATACAAAATATACATTTCCTTCAATTATAATTGTTTTTAATCATTTATATATGTATGGTAATATATTATTGCATTAAAAACTTATAAAATATATATTTTTGGTTAAAATATATATTTTTGCATTTTTGTGTGATTTTTATTATTTATTTTTATTTGTGGCATTATAAATAAATTATAAATGTTTCATTAAAAATGTATTGTGTTTATTTGCATACTCATTTACAACGAACTACTATTTATACTATTTAATGGGCACTATATTTGTCATTTAAGTTTGACATATATTTATATTTGTATACCTACATGATGCATGGTTTAGTTACAGCAAATGCTTGAAATGTTTTCAAACATGAAGCTTTTTTATTATTTTATTATTCGTTTCAAATTAAGTATACTGCCTATGATCTGGTTTTACTATGATCATTTTGCACATCAGGTTACCCCCACTAAGTAATCTCACGGTAAATATACATTTGTATTTTTAATAAGACAATAAATAACATTTAATATTAATACACATTTTGATATTTAAGTTATATTATAAGGTTATAATCAACCTTCAGCCGGAAGATTACCAAATAGAGACAAAGTGTGACGTAGATTGCGACGTTGTGACTGGACTATAACTTCAAAGCCAAATTAAAAGATCCTTCGTGTTGCTAACTATGTTTTGCTAACTTTGCCACTTTACTAACAGTGTCCTTTATCAATGAGTTATCGCTGTGTTTTAAATAGTTAACGATTAACCAAGATCGTAACCCTAAACTTAACCCTAACTACACCTTTCAAGGAACTACAATTTGTAGCGCCATGTCTTTCCCCTCCCATCTATACAGCGACAAAGGATTGTGGGTAATGTAGTTTAAAGCCTTTTTGTAATAAAATGGAACAGATACAAATTTTAATGAACTAAAGACTATCTGAATAAGGTCATTGTGCATATATTTATGACATATATGAAAGCCAGGCATAAATTTGTTATTTTACAATGAGTATTTTTTAAACAGCTTTTATTGACTTGATCAGTATATATCAGACTATTATATCCAACATTATTTATTGAACATAGCATAGGTAATAGTCTTGCTGATATTCTCTCACTCATTTCTCGTTTGAAATGTGAATACTTTTTCCTTTTCTACGGGGCTCTACTCATCCCCTTTGAGTAAAAGGGCAGTTAACCTATGTAGATGTATTATCTTCAACATGGACAAGAAATTGTATTGTCACATGTACAGTTGTGGTAAAAAAAAAAAAAAAAAGCTGTAAAAATAAGCTAAACATTAGTATCCTCTTTAATTACAAGTTATTAGCAATAGTGATCTATGTTCATCACAAATGTTATGAGTTCAGAATAATATGTGTGGATGTAATTCTGGAAGTGTGTTTCATTAATGGTCATCATGTGATATTTAATTGTTTTCACTTTATTTGAAATATGGATAAAAGCTCTTTTAAAATATGTAAATGTTTATAAATAAAACCTTTTTAAAGACATGTATTTGTTTAAAAACCACTCTTTATCTGATTATTTTTACTTTCTAAATCTTCAACTGTTTGTGTAACAGTATGTTTTGATGACAATGGATGAACTTGTGTTTAATAATGATTCCACATAATGTCTTTGTCCTGCATGTGGGTTAATTTGTTAATTATTTTCTTTATGATCAAATGATTGTAAGATTTGCTGCATTGTAAGAATCATGAAAATATTGAGAAATGAGGTAACAATGATGAAAAGATATCCTTTCAAATGCTGCGAATAGTTCAAACCTCCAAATGATTAAAAATACATAGCCATTAACCAACAAAATAAAAATGCAAACATTTAAATTATCTAAACTAGAAGTAAAATAGTTCTGTGCTGTATTTATAAGTTACTGTGTAGTTCTATGTCTACCAAAAATACATATTTCAATACATATCATATTTTATTTTCATTCATTCATTTTCTTTTTGGCTTAGTACCTTTATTAACCAGGGGTCGCCACAGTGCTATGAACCGCCAACTTTTCCAGCATGTTTTTATGCAGCAGATGCTCTTCCAGCCGCAATCCATCTCTTGGAAAATATTTTATGTTTTATCTTGCATTCAATAAAACATTATACAAAGTTAATTTTTATTTTCAGAATAACAACAGTCGCACTGTTATCTCACAACAAGTGCAGCAGTTTTTTGTTAGACATTCTAACAAATTAATACAAATGTTTCAAAGTAAGGACAAAAATAAAAGGAGATTAATTTTTTATTTTTTTTTTTAGAAAAATCCATGAGGACCAAATGGATCCATCAGGTCTTTGATGTAAATCATAGGTTAATTTTTCCAGAGGTAGAAGTGTGGTTGCCTGGTATCTGAGCAGTTGACCATAATAATGTACATTTTTTGCCCAAGTATATGCAAAAATTAAATTTATCATAAAAATGTATCATAAAATTAATATTTTAAAAGCTCTTAATGTCACTTAATGTAATAATTTCATTTTAATATAGAGTTCCTTAAATCGTTATATGTTGTAAGCAGTTAGGCATACAATAATGCTCTTAATTTACAACACTGATTGATTTTAGAGGAATGCTTACATACTGTACATATCTATGTATTTAAAAAAAAAAGACAATTTGGTTATAGATGATGACAATTTTATTTAATTTTTTACAGATTTTATTACATGCTTTAGATTCAGGGTTAAGGTCATCCTCTTCTGGATTACAGTAAAAGAAAATCCACAGTCAATGTCAAACTCATCAGCTGGAGCTTTATTTAAAAAAAATCTATGTTCTCTGCTCCAGCCAAAACTTGCAGGTACCTTGCAGGTCTCTAGATTGCACCATCGTATTGTTGTTTATTTCTCAGTTATTTTGTTGCTTTTTGAGAATGATGATCCATAGACCTTTTAACCCCTCTTCGTTAAGGCCACATGTCGAATCTTAAAAGAAGAACACAACAACATAAAAATATATTAATATCCTTTGGACTGGGTAACCTTATGCTTATGTCTGTGCCAAAAAATACAAATACATACCAGTACATTTCAGTAGCAAACAAGCAAGAAAGTTCTTTGAAAGAACCAGGATGAGTTGAAAGGTATTTATAGTGGTTGACCATCTCTGCCACAAGAATCCACTGCTTCTCCTGAAGAATCCTGACTAGCAGGATGATGTTGAACACCCTCCTCTTTGTTGCTGGGTCAGCAGAGTCTGAAATATATTTATGAAAAGAAAGTTGTATAACAAGGATTATAAGTCAACTTTTAAAGAATCAACACTGACAGAAGTCTAGTGTACATACCATGCAATATGACGAAGACATCCACATCACTTCTTCTTTTTGTTGTCTTTGCTTCTGCTACTGAAAAAAAAATGACAGTAATAGTAACACAATTTTTCATGACTACATGTAATATTAATAAGAATTTCCTCACCCTCTGCCCACTCCTCTACATCACAGACCAAAGTCTTCCAATTGGTTTCCAGTCACTGCCAGTTTCATGGATTCTGTTTTGCAACTTGCTTTGCAGAGCTGTTGGGGTCTACAATGATAAGCAATCAAAAAATCACAATACTATTTAAATAGGTTACTGAACAACTAAAACAAATTCAACTGGATATTGTTACCTTCTGATATCAACAGGTCAGCGAGATGGCCAAATTGTTGAACATCTGCTAATTCCAGCACATGACCATGAGAGTTACAGTAGCATGTCTGGTCACTGCAATCCTATAGAAGAAATATTGCACTGTTCAACCTCCTTCCCAAAAGTAAAACCAGGCATATCCTGGTATGCCTCACTCCATTTCACCTGGTTAACATATACAAACAAACAAACAAACAAACAAACAAACAAACAAATAAATAAGTAAACCAATAAGTTTTGGCATTTACTTGTAGATCAGTTTAAGACAATCACATAGTTCATCTATCTCAGACATAAACTCATGTGCTTAGGCATGAAACACACTAAAATCATGGGCTTAAAGATGGTGCTGAAACTTTGGACAGCTTTTTGCAACTCTTTTGGAGGTAGTGTCATTAGTTGATGTAGTCCACAAATCTTCCTGTCAATTCTTAATCCTTAGCTGTAAATAAACCTTCAAAAATGCCAGTGTTTGAAAAAGGAATGAAACAGTACAGAACAAGTGCATAACAGTTTATATCTTCTAATCTAATTTTCTTAGGTGAACATCACAGAGCTGTTTTCTTGTTAATTTAGTTTCAACACATACAGTTTAAAGTACCTTGTGCATTCTTGAAATGATTATGCTTATGGTTCATATCTACTTAAATTGGCAGTATATCTAGTGTGGAAGCAGAACAGATCAAGCTCTTCCTTGCAAATACTATCCACCTTGTATTGCACAGACTCCCACTCAAGAATATCTCAGAAAAATGTCTGCTGAGATCTTAGCAGTCCATTAAAAATAATTATACCAACATCTTTTCCACCAATGGAAAGAATATAAAAATATTTTAGGATATATTAATACTTGCATGACCAAATCTGAGATAAAAAGGCCATCAGTATGCGTTAGTTTAAATAAAACCAAAATTTTACTCTAGCCCACTGTCACCTAGATCTACAGATACAGGGACTAATGGAAACATTAAAGTACACACCAACAGTCACTGGAGCAAGGCCCTCTCACAGTTGGGAAGATTGGAGTTTCTATGAGCTGTACCAGATAAAAACAACAAAAAAATGTACATTTATAACATTTCTAACTTATCCTAAGACTAGTAGACAAGCAGCATAAGCAGTTCTAATTTCCTAAACCCCAATGTGGACAGTTGATGGCCTATAAGGTGTCATAAAATCAGACAAAACAAAATACTTTCTGAAAAAGAAAAAAAATGGTTGGCCACTATCAACACCCAGAACAAATAGTTTTAAACAGTTAGGGCCACAATATTTTGTGAGCTTATGCTGTAGTTTTTTAATGTTTGTCATAAACAATAGTAATAGTAAAACTAATGCGTTTCTTTCTGTTATTACAATAGTAGTGAAAGAATAAATGCATTTTATCTCATACAATCACATATGCCTAAACAATGTAGATATTTAATATACATGGAATGAAAAACTTCACTAACCCTTGACTGATTCCAGAGTGGTCTTGGCCTTCCTTACATGGTGGTGCTTTCTGCAGATCACCAAGTTGTCATCAAAACTTGAGCTTATAATTGAGATCTTGATGATAAATCTGAGTATTGAGGAATCACTCATGGTGATAGGCAGAAACAGGCTGAAAGACACAAGAATTAATCAAACAAATATAAATGTGTTAACAGAGATAGAGAGAGAGACAAGTGCAATTTAACATATAAACATGGGTAAAGTGATTTTACTTTTTGCTTATCAGAAAACAAAATTGGATTTTTAAAGAAATCTAAAGAACCTGAAAAGAGCAAAGAAAAAATATTCATATCTGAACAGTGAACACCTTATAATGTACAACTGTATATATATATATATATATATATATATATATATTTATATATATATATATATATATATATATATATATATATATATGTGTGTGTGTGTGTGTGTGTGGTAGATTAAGCTATTTTTTTGTTTAGTTTTGTGTTGTACAATGAATAAAATGTGCTCAGACGGGCAAAATTTCTGCCTTTTTCCTTTAAAGGCATGGAAAATAATTGTTTTTACAATAAACCTTTGGAAACACTTGATGTTCTTTAATATTGAAACAATTACGAATACATTTGTATTATTAGAGTTGCATATTGCATATTATATATAGATTTTGCACGAATTCTATTGTGGAAAACAACAATCTGGTTACACTGTTCCTTATCTTAAAATGTATATATTGTTCTAATGCATGACCAACGTTATATGTGAGAAAAATATGTTTTTAATAAATGAACTTGATGTAATTAGATAACGTCGCTAGTTTACAGTACATGCTTTATTAACAAATCGTGTTTATTTGTTTACTTTTTACTTACCTTGTGGAAAACCGCAGTGAACCTTGGGATCGCAATGAACCTTGGGATAGCGAGCATAGACTGTAAAAAATAGATCGCCACATACAATGACCCCAACTTTAATAAATAATTTAAAATGAAAAATATCAGCCGAAAACATTTTTAAACTTAGTACTTGAAATTTAATATTTTTTTAAAGTAAAAAAATAATAAATAATATGAATGAATCAAAGTTTTATTAGGCATAGTTACCCTAAACTGGACAACCGAATATATTTTCACTCATTAAATATAAAGTAAATGATAAAATATTTATAAACACCAACTAATCTCCAATAAAAATATATTATGCAGCATTAACGTAATATTTAATGTTGACAGTTGAACTCATCTGAGAACTCACCGCTGATGCAGTTTGACCAATAGCAGAGCGGCGTTAAACTCACCGTGAAGGGATGTCACGTGGGCCGAAGTTTATTCATACAGTAGTTTCGACCCCGTTTACAGACGCTTTTCATGAACAAAATAAAAATTACATATTTTTAAAATAAGAAAACTAAGATAATAGGCGTAAATCAGGTTTTAAAAAGTTTGTTGACATCTATTGGTAATTATACGAGCCTCCAGCGTCTCCATATGACGCCTCAGGCTCAGGCACAGATTCTATAGGGAATCCCTGCACGTCTAAATATGACGCTAAAGGGGTACCCTGTGCGTCAATAACTGACGCCGAGGGTTCCTGACCAAGCGTCAGTATGTGACGAGTTGGGAGTGAGAACGTGTTGCTCCTTCATATTGTACTTAGTTGGTTTAGTTGTGTTTGATTAGGGTTGCAGCTGAACTCCAAAAACAGGGTTAAGCACCCTGGGTAAGGGGTAAAGATTAGTATTGATAACCTAGTGGCCAACAGTAAACAATGCAATCATAATGGAGATAGCTGATTAGTCATGTGGGCGCAATATTTGCTACTTCAATTTGCTTGCCAAATTACTTTCTGTTTCATTGGTCCACCCTAGCGACTGTCCCATAGACTTCACAAACACTTTAGCAACAACCTATAACATATTAGCAACTGCCTAGCAACACCTTAGGAACCACCTAGCAACACCTTAGCAACTATTCAGAACATCCTAACAACCACCTAGCAACACCTTAGCACTGCTTAGCAACATCCTAGCAACCACTCAGAACACAATGACCTAGAACTACTCAGAACAGCAATGATGTAGAACACCTTAGCAATCGCCTATCAGCACATTAGCAACCACCTAGCAACACCTTAGCAATTGCCTAGAAACACCTTGGCAACCACCGAACAATGCTTTAGAAACCACTCAGAAACAAATTAGAACACCCTAGCAACCACCTAGCAACGCCTTAGCAACTGCCTAGTAACCACTCAGAACACCCTACCAACCACCTTAACAACATAGAACACCTTAACAACCACAGCAGTCACTCCTGTCAGCTAAGAATAGGAAACCAAGGCTACAATTCGCACAGGCTCACCAAAATTGGACATTATAAGGTTGGAAAAAAGTTGCCTGGTCTGATGAGTCTCGATTTCTGCTGAGATATTTGCCTGGTAGGGTCCGAATTTGGCATCAACAACAGGAAAGCGTGGATCCATTCTGCCTTGTATCAACTGTTCAACCTGCTGGTGGTGGTGTAATGGTGTGAGGGATATTTTATTGGCACACTTTAGTACAATAATTAGTACCAATTGAGCATTGTGTTAACGCCACAGCCTATATTGTTGCTGACTATGTTCATCCCTTTATGACCACAATGTACCCATCTTCTGATGGCTACTTCCTGCAGGATAACCCTCCATGTCATAAAGCGCCAATCATCTCAAATGGGTTCTTGAACATGACAATGAGTTCACTGTACTCAAATGGCCTCCACAGTCTCCAGAATTCAATCCAATAGAGCACCTTTTTGGATGTGGTGGAACGAGGGTTTGCATCATGGACATGCAGCCGACAAATCTGCAGCAACAGCATGATGCTATCGTGTCAATATGGACTAAAATCTCAGAGGGATATTTCCAGTACCTTGTTGAATGTATTGCCATGAAGTTCTGAAGGCAAAATTGGGTCCAACCAAGTACTAGTAAAATGTACCTAATAAAGCAGATGTTGTTTTAAGTGAATATACAATTATATATTCTGTTTACAAAAGGTTTATATGATTACATTAGAGCTTCCACATAATTAACGCCAATCAGAGTGATTATTTAAGCTCTCTGCATTTTTGAGGGAAGTGTGTGGTTAATATACTGTATGTGTTTGCACTCATATTATGCAAGACCACATGTATGTCACAAGTTTGTTTCCTTCTCATTATCCTGCCTCAAAGTCTGTGCAGTATGTGTGTGTCAAGAGAAAGTTTACTGCTTCAAACAGGAGTCTAGGTGTCTGTTAGTCACTACTGAGTCACTACTTAGCTAGGAACTTACAAGTTACATATTTCTTATTACAGGGTGCGAGTTTTGAATTAAAGTATACACTGATCAGTGCTTACAAACATGGTAACATGATGTCTATGGTCTTTAGACTGGCTTCCATCGCTCAGTAACATCGCTCTGTCAGATGGTCTGCCTTAAACAAGCAAACAAAAAAGCTTCTTTTGTGACTCTGTTCACTCTCTTTTTATTGATTATTTGTCTTCGGAATGCACACAATTAAGGCTTCTAAAATACACATACCATCTCTGCCGGCTTTATGGTGCTATTCAGAGTGATCTTGCCAACACTAAAGATTTTTACTAGCAACAAAGTTTCTCACTGACTGTTTCTTTTGAAAATAGTTCCAAACAATCTCACAATGCATCTCTGTGCAAATTAAGATGTGTTTTGCTATTGAATGAATGAGCTTTTTTTAATTTATTGAGTGAGTCAGTTAATCAAATACGCATTCATCAGCGCATGCATTCCTGAATAAATCTGCCATTTGAACAAATCAATTGATTGAATGATTCAGTGAGAATACACTGTTTGAAAATACACACTTCTGATTCTTTTTTTCTGTTATTTCAATCATTTAATTTTTATTTAAATACATATACATTTAAGAAATGCAAATGAATGAGGCACATTTAAGGTTAGAAAAATGTTCCTTTCAAAATGCCCAGTTGAAATACATTCAAGGAGTAATGCTTACATTAAGTAAGTAATGCTTACATTTTTATGAACTACATTTTTGTAATACTTGATAAAGAAAAACATCTAATATATTTGATGGTAACAAAGTACTAAATAAAGAATACTACAATAATTTACAGAATAAAACCCCTCAAAAGCCTGAAACCAGAACAAGAGAGGAAAGATTTTATGAGAGGGGAAATACTGACAATAAACTCATTTGTTGAATTCCAGTGAATAATGTTGTCCACAGTCAGCTGTAGTCGATGGACAAATGACTTTCACAAGTTCTGCTCCATTATGCCGGGCGCGCTTTTAGATCTCTAAATTAATGAGGCAACATGAGGCAGCTCTGGATGGGTCCCTACCAACACCAGCTGGGCAATGCAGTTAATATGTTCAGAAACCTGTTCATGACAAAACACTGCTGTTGGAGCAAATGACACTTTACAACCAGTTTTTTTTTCTCTCTCTTGCTTTCATTGTGATTGCAACACATTAGGAGTTTGGAAGGTTTAACACTGCATGTAGTCAAACAGCTAGATCTGTTTCAACTGATTTATAATAAAAAATTAAGTTAAAATGAATAATTTTCTTTTATAGGAAAAGATCTACAAAGATCATTGTACTATTTCATGCTAAACTTTATGTTTTTTTGGAAGTATTTGTCAAGTTTGTTAACAGCTTTGAAGAAGCAATTTAGTCTGTTGGTTTAAGTATCATTAACAACATTCCGAAAGCATCTATTAATCTCATATTAACGACATGTATAGATTAATATATAAACAAATTCATAAATGAAAAATACTACTTTACAAAGTTAGATGCAAAGTTTAAACAATTCTAATTAAACTTAATTAAACTTGACAGTATACAGACTTTTAAAGGGGTACTTCTTTCTTCCCTTGTGTTCATAGCTTTTCCAAATATAAACACTACACATTTATCTTTTTAAGAAAGTACTGAGCTTTTGAAGTCATGCCTCATCTCATTTACTGAATGCAGCCTAATTCACGTGGATGTGAATAACAAAAGGTAAAGATTTAATGATTATTTTGTTCTACTCACACATGCAAACACAAAAACAATCAATCAATCAATCAATCAATCAATCAATCAATCAATTGTGAAAATGCAAAATAATATATAAGGCTTTACTTGAAGGGGGCGACATGAGACCTTTATAATCATGATATAAAGTGTCATGAAAATAAATTAGATCACGTGTTCTTATGACAACCATCATTAAATGTAATTCGCTCAGTTGCCATTTTAAATGCTAGCGGGACATCATTCGTTATGCCTTTGTCATAACAATTTGCCATTATCAATATCATAACTTGTCATACATCTGCCATAAACATGACATGCCATGAAGCTGTTAGAATTGTGTCACAAGTTGTATAGCGATGTCATTAATATATTTTCTTGACCTAATGAGTTGAGTGGTACAAATCAAATTTGTCATGAAAATGTCATCAAGTGCCATTAAATATGAATGGCACCGTTATAAAAGTATGTGACAAGGTATTGAAAGTTTTTCAGAGAAATTTAAAAATGAAAATTAATTTGTTCCACTGAAAAAAACGTGATCAGAAAATACTCATGAGATTGTTATAAAGGTCTCACAACAGTCATATATAATGTTTCTCCATGCAGCAAACAATGGGAAATTCATTTTAAGATCAGATCTGCTGATGTGCAGGTAAAACGAATTTGCGCCTATAAACAAAGCGCCTCCTCTGTTCAAAATATGTGTTGCAATTCATTCAACATTACTATCAGTTTAAATTGTCACATACTTAAATAAATTCCATCTAGCTCATGGTGAATTGTTACATTCCTACTTGTCATGAATCTATCGTAAACATGACATGTCATGGAGCCATTATAATTGTGTCCAACTTTTATGACAGTGTCATTTAT